TTAAGGTTTCAAACATCAAAGTGCATGTAGTTGTGTGTAACAGCACTTAACAGGATACTAATACTACAAGTATCTAGCTGCATCACATCATCACTGTTAAATACAGTCTGGTTGTATGTAGTTTTACTTGTTTTCTGAATGTACTGGGCATAATCTTCTAGAGAAACTAAGCAGTCTTGCTGTTGAAATTTTGTTTTCTGTATATACAAAATCATTCTGTACAATTTCACTGGAAAATATGTACGTACCTGAAAACATTACACATATTCGAAATATTTTTTTTTTCAGTAATGAACGCCTGTCTTTCTTTTTAAATGATGAAAGAAAGTAGAGACATTCACTTATATCAATATTCACCAAAGCAGTTATTTAAATGAAAGGTAATACTGAATACTTCTATAGGCTGGATCCAATTTAAATGGTACTTCATATAACCAGAATTTCATTAAATACTCTTCCTACAAGGATCCTTCAGTTACCAAATAACTACATTCGTCTTCTGATGACCTGCAGATAAGTTTACCAAGATGACATAATGGCTACCTTCAAAATTTCAAAGAGGTGTTTTAAATATGCAGTAGGAGCAGCAACTCAATTTACTGCAATCATGAGGTCCTGAAGTATTTCTTAACCACTGTTTCTACACAATATGCTCTGCATCAAAAATCTTGCATTAAATTCATCACCCACAATTATTCCATTTCCTGTCTGGTGTGATCTGAGTGAAAATTTCAATCATTCTATGGCCTCTTAAAAGAGTACAGTACTTTCATGTTGAACATTTAAGACAAAAAAAAAAGAAATCAAATTAGGCTAACATGCCTTATCCAAATTCATATTTCATTCCATTCCCTGTCCTGTGCAAACTGAATCCTCCCATCATTACTTTGAAAGCCTTGGATAATGTCACAGACAGATTTGTCAAATCCATATAATGGCTACCAAATTCATAGTCCATTCATTTCCCACAACTGGAACAAACCTAGCTTAGTACATAAAGGCCAGAGCAAACTATGTGTAATTTGAAGCTTTGATGCAACGGTATACAAAGAAGTCTTCTTGGGTAAACAGCCATGTCAATGCAGAGTTGGTGTCTAACATTTCAAAGACTGTCTCTGACTCCCATCAGAGGTTGTGTTAATGAGTGTTGTATTCACACATTATATTTATACACAAAGCTCTCCTCCATCCAACCCAGACAACATTGGGGTGGGGAGCAGTGTATGCAATTAGACGATCAGTGATATCCTGCCCCAACTCGGACAATGTGGAGACTGTCAGTCAGTCACATGAATTAAAGATGGTTGTCTCTGGTCATTCCTTATGATGTTTTTTTTTTAATTTTCTCATATATTTTACTATGTTCATGGCCAAATACCATGAATGTCTTAGAGAAAATTCCATATACCTCTTAAAGTTATTGAGCTGCAGCCAAATCTCAGTGGCTGCACCACGATAACTTTAACAGAGATATGGGTTTCAACCACGAATATAATAAAATATAAAAGGAACTCATAAAAATCTTAAGGAAGGTCCAATGGGAAGCTACTTGAATTCAGGGGGCTGACTGATATATCCACACATGATTTATGGTGAAGCTGGACATCACTGACAATCTGGCTCTGCCAACTGTTCCCTACACTGTTCAGACTGGGAAAGACAAAAGCCTTGTGTATACACATAGCATGCAGGCACAACACTCATCAGATGTTGGAAACAGGCACAGTCCCTGAAACAATGGGCATGAACTCCACACTGACAAGGCTTATCACCAAACAAGACTTCAATGTCAGATAAAAATGTTCCACTTACTGTAATAAAGGACCAAAAATTTCTTGTGTCTCTCATCCACAAGATAATACCTGATCAGCCACTCGTCAACAGAAAGGAGGTTCAAGCCATAATCCCAAATATGTGCGTCCTATACAATCAATTACCTACAAAGAAATCTTACTTAACTACAAATGCAAATGGTTCTTTATGATGAAGTAATAACTCTGAATAAATCTCTTTGTTCATATGCTTAAGTATGCTCTATGTAACACATAATTTAACTCAAATATGTTGATCCACTCATGTTTATTATTTTCTTCAAACAATTTATTGTGCACTCAAAACATTGGGGAGAAATCAGTATTAAGGTAAAACAGGGTAAGGGAAGATTTTTGTTTATCAAGTCCTGCCCTCCTATGAATTTCTTGCGGATGAGACAGGAAACCTTTATCTCTGTGGCTCAAGTAAAATTTGTTTCTAATATGTTGGGTCTGAAGTTCTCACAGCAATTTTTATTTAAGAGTTCTAGCATCTGCCCTATAATGCTGCACAGCCCAGTAAAATTCAACTGATATTTCACAGGAACACAATGACCCCATCCTCAGGGGTGAAGAGTAAACCAGGCAAGAAGATAGCATGTAGACTTGCTTGGTTTCTTCTCTGACCCTGAAGATGTAGGTGGTATCTGCCTCTGAAACTTTTCTCTTTTTTGTCATTCCTTCTACATCTTTTAGTTCATGTGATGATCACTGTACTTTGGTAGAGACACTGAACATTAAGACAGTATGTACTCCCTAATAAAGGAGTCCTTAAACTACACGTCATTCTTGTAGGTTACCTGGAGTCAGCAGCATGCCATGTTTGTTAAAGTACCTCATAGATAAAACAGGGTATAATGTGGTACACTAAAGTAGGGAACCATGTCTTACATACAACTATCCTACTTCACTCCAGACAACATGATGATGAAAGTATCATTCTGACTGTACCCAGTTAGCAGATCTAGGTGCCTTGACACTGAAGGAAGATACATGTTGGAGGTTTGCCTTTGGCACAGAGGGTATCTTAGTGACTGCAGAGATTTGTGTGAGTATTTCAAGCAATTTTATGCCATAAATGTCTGTATCTCCTTGGGCAAGAGACAATAGAGAGGTGCTAGACAACCCACCACGAAGTAGCACAGCACACCAAATCATTAATTTTCTTCTTTCCTTTATTCTTTTCATACCTTTACCTTCTTCACACCTTACTCGCTTACTGTTTTCCCATTCCTTTTATTTGTCTGTCCTATTGTCATTACTTTCCCTAATTTCCTCCCTCATCCTCAGTTAAAACATTTCCCTAGCCCCAGTGCATTTCTTTCCCTCCTCTCTCCCATCTTCCTTTCCCATCTCTTTCATATGGCCATCATCATCCCTCTGCGCATGTTCTAAAAATGGCACAAGATCGTTTACCTTCCCTCAATCATAGCAATGGCACATTCAGTTTTCCCAGAAGTGTGTCAGGAATGTTAATGCATATGTAAATCTGTCAACTGTCATTTTACTGATATCAGGCTTTCATAGTGATTACTGATTAGTTACTGATGTTAACCCTGTTCTTGGATTGTTGCACCATGTGAATGTGGGCGATGATGCCAACTTTTCTTAAATATATGCTGCCTCCATCTTCAGGGTAGATCCTGAAGGCACATAACAAAATGTCTTATAAAGATAATCACTTTCTGGCAGTATTTCATTTTAACGTTCACTCAAATGGGGCCCCTCATCAAATATGAACAATTCACATTGTGTTTCTCCCAAACTGTTTACAGAGATTTTCTAAATGTTTGCTTTAATAAACTGTCATCAAATATATTCAAATTTCAGCTCATATAAGCTCTAGGTTACCAATCCAGTGTGACCCAGCAGAAATTTCCCATTCCATTCTGGCCATACTTCCATTAACCCTTTAAAGAGTGAATTTCTTCTAAATAATATATAAAAAATCCACTTCAAGAAACACATTACATCTCCACTACAAAGATGACCCAATTAATGCTGTATTGAAAAAAAAACGCTGTTAATTGTGAGAAGTGTATAAAGTACACAGAATGGCAGAACGCAGAGATTTTGTTATGATGAAATACCTGATACATATAGAACTACTGGCCTTTAAAGGATTAATAGTACCAACAGTAAAAAATGTGAAAATGTGCAGGTTTCAAAATCTTATCCTTAAATTACTAAAAGTCATAGAAAAGTCCTAAAACAAACTTGTAACAAATTCCAATGAATATGAACATTTCAATTAAATCTGCATAATCCTGTACATTTAAAACAAGGTACGAGGAACTGGTAGAGACATGTTCTAGTCACATTAGTGAAGACTATGCCCTCAGACTGTGACAATAACATTACAATAATGGTAAGACAATAGGTTCTCATAACATTCACGAATAAGCCATTGAAGAATCTTACATTTCGTTACATCACAGCGGTACTTTATCATCAACATGACCATTTACTGATTGAGGCCAAGGTCTCTAGTCAAAATACCCCCTAACTTTTAATTTTCTATTTATGAGCGATTTAGTTAAACTGACAAAAGAATCTAAGTATGATGATAGAACCATACTCATTTACTGCTAATGAGAACTATAACATCGCTTATCATTAGCAGCCAGTTCCACATGTCTCAAGGTTAAATCTGATAACCCACCAAGGCTGTTTTGTCACATTACGATGCAACAAACAAATCTACTCTTCAAGCAGTACATACAATAAAACCACCAAAAAGTACCAAAATTATAGATGTAACGACGATCACCCGCATTAATAAAAAAAAAACACTGAACACTACAAACTGAGTCTGACAATGAATGAAGGGAACTTTTTTTTTGCGCAGTCCAAGAATAATCACCACAGAGTTAACTAGAGGAGCATAATGAACCTTTGTATTAAAATATAGTGCGTAGTAAAATGATCTGTAGGCCTTACACGATAGGATTGTCAATCGTGCTCTGAGAGTTACAGATGGACGGAGAACAGATACTGCTTAACTGCCTATTTGTGTCACATTTGTCCTTCGTACACATATGAACAGGAATTGAAATTCATCTGAATATGCAGAATTAATTACAGACACAAAATCCTGATTACGCAGAAGCATCCGTTTGACATTAGATACAAGATGCTATAAGGATAAGTTTCCGAAACAAGCATATTATACGAAACTACCTAACATACCTTCGTTTTCGTTACTACATGCGTCGCTAGTTTCACAACTGCAAAATTTCCTTTTCCAATCGTCCGTTCTAATTCGTAATAACCAACTCTCACTAGTCTATCTGCGGTTAAATTTTGATTTCCAGAAGCACCTTTACTCCGAACAGATGCCATTTTCACTTTTCCGTCGACTACTGTCGACTGTCTGCTAGTTGATTGAAGTTATCGCATGAGCGCTAGCTTTCAAGAGCCATTGACCAGCTGACAATCGCATTACGCAGTTCCACATAGCGCTCGATTCGATTTGAACTCAGTCGTACTACTAGCAAAGTATATCTTCTCCATCTTTCAGATTTACGAATGGATGCAACTTGGTTTTCACTTTATATTTTTATTATCATTATTGTTTTTACTTTCTTTTTCACTATCCTTATGCACAATACCGCAGACGCTTGCCGCTAACTAAAATTGTGAACCACAATTTGTCAGTGAAAAAAGAGTACGCAATGTAAATTATAATTATCACGTAGTGTATGCAATGTTGTACTGCGTGAAATGACAGTACTACTTCACTTGCAGTTATTTGTTCTTTTGTTCTTGAATATAGTTTAATACAAAATATATTGACCACGGGTGTATTGTGACAAATCTGGATTTTCTTTCATGTGTGCTCTGCACTGGCGTTATCTATTCCAAATCATAACTGCCTTCAGTGCTGCAGGCGTGAAAGTTTAACATACAATATATTTTCTTCCACCTTCGTTACTTCCAGCTTGAAAGTAAAGTTTTCTTTAAGCTCATTGTTAAATTTACTATTTTTCTTTGGCATATTATCAGTAAAGACACAAATAATATATACCTTTGGGCATGAGGAAAACATGACCATAAATCTGTCTAAAACTACAAAAGTGCACTTATATTTACAAAATAAAACCCACAGCAGTCGAGTACACGCAGATTAGTTGGCTTCGTTCTCTCTGCTAGGAAGCTTAATTATGCTATAAAATACCTGCGAATCGGAATATAATTTTTCCCCCCTGGCACTACAGCCCCAGTGGGCCTAGTCCTACCTCCATGAACTTCTCCGTTCACTTCGGTTTTTCTAGATCTTACACATTCGGTAGGACTCCTTGGGCGGGTGATCAGCTCGTCGCAAGGCCTCTACCTGTACACAAACAAAGAAAAACGAACACACACAAACTAAACATCCATGCCCTGAGTGAGATTCGAACCCACGATCCAGGTTTGAGAGCGAGCGAAGACAGTCCATGCCTTAGACCGCTCGGCTACCGTGACCAGCCGAACATATATTACTAGTGATAATTATAACACGACAAATGAAATTCTGGAATTGCTGCCCTTGCAGGCCCATAATAATGCGAGAGTATTTCAGATGATCACGATTTGAACAAGGAATAGCCGGCTTCAATTGCATGGTATCTCACAAGCACTAAAAAATAATGTTCGTGAATTTATGGTTCATCTCATATGAGATATAATGTCATGTGTTATTAGTAGGCAGGGGTTTGGATTGGTAATTAGATTTATTGAATATTCATAACTCGTAACTATAATATTATCTCAAATCTGTACACTTCACTATTCACTATTGCACTCGCTAATACTCCTCAGGTCGTCTTCATTAGCTACTGCTAGTTACGGTTCAGCTTCCGCGTTCATCAGCCCCTGTCGTCGCTCTTGTCTCTTATTCTGTCCTAGACGTGTACATGCAATGCATACGAAGCTTTAATTCACATGTCCATAAGGTAATAAAAGGTAAATTTGTCCCTGTGCTTAACTAAATAAGCACTAAGACATGAAGACATATGGCGAGCGGATGTATAAACTCAGGTTCTTGACCTAGACACTAGCTAGATTTGAGTGGTCAGCTTCACGCTCCGGCTGTTTACACCCGGAGAAGAAGGCACCTACACCCTTTGGATAGGTTGTTGTGTGGACCCCAGAGCCCATCTGGACCATATGGAGATGTAAAAATTGTTGCTCAGACTCGAACTTCGACGCCTTGATCGTCCAGCCCGTAACCAATCGCTAAACTGACTACGCTATCCCGGCTCCCCTACAATGTACATGAAGATCGTAATTCATAATTGAGCAAATTTTATTTTACGTGCTTCCAGTTAATTTTGAGCTTGCTGGGCAAAAAGTAATACAATCGGTTTTGGGAAATTAGATGTAATGTTATTAGTTACCTCCAAAGTATTTTAATCCCTCACTAACCACTGAGATTATTTCCCTGAAAAAACAGCAAATGGTAATACCAAGGCATTACGTATATGAGATATTTATTTCTAAGGAAACGGTGGCCATCTTCTTTAATAACAATACCTGAGTTTCTAAACACACAGAAGAATGTATAATAACAAAGCATACTGCAGAAATTATTTCAAACGTCACTACATTCCTCCTTCCAGAGGATACAGACGTCTCTGTGTGGAAGTCACATACCTATTGTTGTCGTGTTTATATTAACTGCAATCAGCAGATACAAAATACCAAAACCCGAGGTTCGGAAAACTGGGCGTAAGCGGTCTGATATACTAGGAAAAAGACACATATAGTGTCCCCTTATCCTTCCTCCGGGTCTGTAGGCTGGAGAAAGGAAAGGCATATATGCTAAGGTTCTTGGACCGGTGATATGGAAGCAAGGGTTCGAACCCCGAAAAATTTTGATGCCGTCGCGCGGGATAATGTAATATATTTATTCGCCTCTTCTTATACTTCCTCAGTTTTAAGGATAAGGCCTTCCTTCACGCCTGTTCCAATTCAGTATTTAATTCTGAAACTACATATCTTTTAGAGTGTAAAAGAGTCTCCCAAACTCTTGGTCCGCGAAAAATTTTAAATGGTGTGTGTTCTTTTTTCTGCATTTGTGTACAGGTAGAGGCCTTGCAACGAGATGATCACCCGACCAAGGAGTCCTACCGAATGTCTAAGGTCTAGTAAACCGAAGTGAAACAGAGATTTTCATGTAGGTAAGCCAAGGTGCAAATTGGGGCTGTAGCGCCAAAGGAAAAAAAAAACGGTAGGTTTTGTTAAGTGTAATATGCAGTTGAAGAAAGCAGTCTGGGATTTGGCACCGTGTATATGTGGTGTTAACCGACGTTTCGGAGGAACGTATCGCCTCCATCTTCAGGGTAGAAGAAAAAATATCAGAAATCTGCAAGCGAAGAGACCGTGAGAACCGGTAAAAGCAGACTGTGTGGAAGTATACACAGCTATGATATACACGGTCTCTTCGCTTGCAGATTTCTTATGCTTTTCCTTCTACCCTGAAGATGGAGGCGATACGTTCCTCCGAAACGTCGGTTAACACCACATATACACGGTGCCAAATCCCAGAAGACTGCTTTCTTCATAGTCACCGCCGTGAAAGCCTCAAATCTTCTAATATGCAGTTGTTTCCGTTTTAAGTGTATGTGTCGGTATGTTCATTCGGATTTCTATTGATTTCTTCTAGAAATAAAAAGTATTTCTGTTGCATTGAACAAACTATTCCATATATGGATTCTGTACGAATATTTTCACTTTCCTGTTGACTTCAGCCTAATAAATCTGTAATCGAAAACCTCCCCAAAGATGCGGATGTCAAAGCATGGCCATTAGAGTTTACATGGCCTGGTTTGAATTACAATACGGCTGAGCATGACAAAAGTTACCATAACCCAAGTTAAGAGAGCAATATGAAGGCAGGGAGACGCAGCCCTCTTTGTCCTACTTCCGGATCAATTCATTGACCCTCCTTTGGTCTCTCTTAAGCTCCCCCTGTCGTCTCTTCAACAGTTGCCGACGGTGCTAAAGCGGTCGGTGTCTTCCGGTTTCTGTATTCATACGAAACTGCTGGGCGCATAGCCCATTGTGCTGCGTATTGACGTTTACACAAAGACCTCTAGCTACGTGCTCAGTGCAATTGGTCTTATTTGAAAGGAGAACCACTAGTAATGAGCGGAAGTTTGTAGTAAAGCTGTTTCAGTGATGAATGAGAAACCTAAAGAGTTAACCATTTTAGGGTCTGATAAACCGTGAGCGCCTTACAAACTCCTGAAAACCAGTAATTCACAGTTCCGACCTTCATAACTGAGAGCTAGCGTCCAGTTCCGCAATTCTAAGAATTAAAGTGTGGGAGTCCTAGTTTTCTCAGCCGTCATACCGAATTAATTTTTAATTAAAAATAGTGCAGAAAACGTATCGACCATGATTACTTCTGGGATAAGGGTACAAAAGCAAATATGTATGAAATTTACAGTTCCTTCTCCTCTTTATCACTAGGACTTTGCAAAATATTTTCCATTATATTCATGTTAAGTCGTGCATTTCAGTACGAAAATACTAACTGCAAAACAAATCATCTTTTCCTTCTTATTTTTACTTTATATTTAAAGAAAATGTCTCAAAGCGGCTGCGACACGCCTTTTCGTTTACACCCTGGGCAGCTGCCCCTTTCAGCCTGTCCAAATATAAATATTCGTTTTCAATATCTATTCTGAATTCACATTTTTAGAGGCAGTCCATATACATACATAATCAATATCCTAAGTTTTTTAAGTTATCTCAAGGTCAGTGTAGTAATGGCATATGATATAGCAACTCAGATTATGATCAGGCTAACAATACTAGCTTTCCTGAATTTACTAAACGGGTACGGATTTTAGAAGAACTGTGATTTAGGTAGAAATTTTATCAACATAAAATTTGTTAGATTTAACCCAAAAGATTCACACTGTCGTCATGTTTGAAATTGTTGATTAATAAACAATATTTGACATATAATGGATATACCTATTTACGATTCCTGAAAATTACATACTTTATAGATAAAAAATTACAAACATGTCCAAATATTCGTGTTCATGGGATTATCCAACAAATAAAATATAAGTAATATACGTAGGCGAACTTAAATAATTTCATCCAGCAGAGATAATAACAATAATGACAATAATAAACAGAAGACTGTACTTTCCTCTCAACGGGCTTACGGCTTTCGACAATTTCACCTCTCAAGTGCCTTCCGTCTCCGCTAGAATCATCAGACACCCGTCCCCATACCAAGTAAAAAAGAA